GCTCATCTTGGTCGTCTGTTTTAGAGAGGACGCGCTCACCTCGTCCCCAGCGAGGATTCATACGCCTGTGACAACGGCATTCGAAGATCTGTTGCAGCTAGGTAGTGGAGCGTTGGACATGGAAGAGGAGCTCGACTGGGCCAAGGACCTCACTATGACATGCATAGGAATGTAAATCCACATTGATGGGCTCCTCTGGTATTCCACGTTGTTGTCCCAGCTTCTACAGAGGTCTCGAATGTCAACATTTAATGTATCAGCTGTTGACTGGAGAGCTGTAATCCTCGGTCGCTCGTGTAGGTATTCGAGAATATCAGAGACCGGTTTGGCTCCGGAAATCACTCGCTTCGACGCTCATGGCCTGGCGGATGATCATTTCTCTATGCACAACTTGTTGCGGCCGGAGACAGTTGAGGCTTTGTGGTACATGTGGAGGGCCACAGGAGACTGGTAGGACAGGAAATAATACTTGAGATCGGCTTGCGGAATTCTCGAGGCATCTGTTGCTGATCCATGTAGCGATCGATTCTTGAGGAATACTGATTCGCATGACATGCGAGAGAGTTTTCAATCCTTCACTGAGCAACTCTCTATCTACTCCATGGAGGGAATCGAAGCCTCGGTTGACTCTGCCAGGCTGTTCTTCGCGAAAGGTGTTGTCTTTGATAATCAAGGTACTATAGAGAAGCGGGCTGGCGCATCGCTCGGGCTCTCGAGCGGTATGCACGCACGCCTTACGGCTATTCCTCGCTGGAAAACGTCAGAGTGCCTGGAAGTTATACGGGACACCAGCCAACCTATTTTTTCTCTGGTAGTGCCTTATAGAACTGAGAGTGTTTCAAGGTTTATATTTATATCATTTTTCTGTCTCACCTGAAATTGAGCAAATCGGCTCGCGCTGAATATGTTGTCGTCGGCAGCGGAGGACACCGTCAGAGCACTGCTACTCCTATTTCAGAGACCCTAAAGTACCTCTACCTCTTATTCTCCCCGGATGCCATGGGTGAAGGTGCTGGAATGACGAATGGTGTGCTATTGTCCCATACGGAGTATGTCCTCAATACTGAAGGGCATCCATATCCTATACCGACGTGA